ACAAAAAATATTTCAAAAATATTAAAATAATCTTGTTTTATTTAAAAGTAAAATAAATAACAGTATATGGTACACATTACAATATTTTTTACTAAACTTAGATTAAAATTTTGCTAGAACTCATTTCATTGCATTAAACAATATAATACTAATTTTCTTATAAATAGTGCCATGCCTCCTCAAATATTTTAGTTTTTTTTTTTTTGGTTTTTTTTTTTTCCTTAACTACTTCTACAATATCGGATAACTGCACTCGCTCGCAATGCCGCAAAAACTATTCGCATTTCGCAACATGCGCATAAAACCGCCTTCGCCCCAATTCTCCGAATACGAATTCTTAATAATCCAATAGTCKCGACCATTTTCGGTGCCATAACCGACCACTACAACGGAGTGATTCACCTCTTCTTGATTGCATTCATTATCATCATATATACCGCCCATGTATTGCTCAAAAGATATGGGCGAACCGTTGATGGAGCACGCTAATGGACCGAGCGTTGCAATGACCTCTTTCATTTTTTCCTCATCACCAGGTTTAATGCGCGCATAGTCACGTATTTGTACACCCTTACCCGTATCGTTGCGATGACACTGYGCATTCTCCATTTGTGTGTATGGGTAATTGTTTGCTATCGAGATGCCGTGATCGCGTATATATTCGAAGCCATACTCCTGAAAACCGCCATCACAACCCATATTACCATACTCATCCGCACAATCGACGAGATTTTGTTGTGAGAGCGGTACAAGTATGCCGGTGCGCCGAAAGAGATGTCCCTCAAGTGCAGCAGCTGTGGCGAAGGACCAACATGAGCCACAGTCGAAACCCTGAAAACCGGGCGGTGTRACACCACCTTTTTCGCGCCAATCAAATGAGTCAGGCAGATTTTGTAGATTCGCCTTGGCAGTGACGAAGTTTGTGTGCTTAGAGGTGATTTCCCTGCAATTAAATGTTGATAAAAGTTAAGCTGATCTTTATTTCAGTAATCTAGTATTTTATGTTAAGTTATTGCGGTTTCTGTYTAACTAATTTGAATTGTGAAAATCTAGAAGTTCAGCCTTGATTTAATAAACGGTGAATAGAAAAACTCGTCTAAAACCGCATAAGCGGTSTCYACGCCAATAAAGRAGAGGAGGAGCAGAAAAAACCACCGCAAAATAAATACACATAGATATTTGTATAGTCGAAGCTCGAATACCGTTACGAYAAACGTATTACTCATCATTACGTTTTCGAAATTAGTCAATGAATATTGGAAATCATTAAGTCAGACTAAGTTAATATATCTGCTCGAGTTAATAATGAGTGAATAGGAGGTTCTCTTCTGCTACTAAGTATAACATTTTTCAAACAACTGATGGAAAAAAATGAAGGAACGAAGCTATCGTTTGATTGCCTTGTAAACGGCGAAGCTCTCATTATAAAGGTGGAACGAGTAAATATTAACTAAGAAGGTTGGTTGAGAAATCTATGATTAAGAAATGTCGGAAAGTACCGTTTCAGACTTCCAGATCACTAAGGTAGAATTAAATCTAGTCCTCCAGTGTGCAGTCCCATCTAAAGAGAGATATCAGAGCAGCGTTACTGGCCTTTAGCTCRTCTTGCRGRCCTTTGAGATTAGTCTAGCCACGAYATTAGYGTATCGAGTTAGTTCATAATAAAACTTTCGGAATCACAGGGAATTTATGAAGGATTAGATAATTTAGCATCAACATCATCCGGGCTAAGCCCACGAAATGGATGATTTCGGCGAAAGAACCGCAGCAAGAACGTATATTTTCGATCGGAGATRCAAGAGGTACCCCCGTTTAGTCTGACAAGTTTACATCTTTCTCGTCTTCGTTTCACTTCATCCAGGCGATCATATTGTTTCGGCGTGGTTAAGTAATGGCCGGCCAATTGCCTTGCWTGTTGCCAACAAGGTTTCTTTGTCATTTCCCCATGTGCTGCCGGCTATTGACTTGAGGATTTTGTTGCGACTCTGTACCTTGGCGAAAATCGCAGTCGTATGAGGAGTGAAGGAGCACAGACTGGCGAAAGTCACACCTAAGATTTTAGGGTTATTATCAGAATCGACTGCAATATTAAGATCAAGACTGTACTCCTTTGTCCAGTTGTGAATATGGTCGCTGTGGATTTAATAGGAGAGGGTATTAAGCTCCGTGCCGCGAGGAAGCGAGAAAGGTCGGAGAGATATCCGTTTACGTTGCGATYTAAACCTGTTTAGATCGTTAAGTCTTCAAATACAAGCTCATGCCCAGTGGCAAGATGCTTCTAACCCGAAGGAAATTTAAAGGGGTTTAGTGAGCTATTCGCCCGAAGCAAAGTTCACATTTCGCTGTTTGTAGGCCATGGGTTATATTGCCAAATAAGCAACCACTACGAAAGTTTAAAAACCTCCGAAGGCTAGCTATCGAAGTTGAAGTAGAATTCTCTTGACTTTGTGAGTTGAAGGCTAAAACATCATGTATCTTACCATCTAGATAAACGAGCTGGAAAGTAGAAAACCTATGCAGTTTTCTGATTAGTTTAAGGTGCAGAATCCTCAATTGGTTAGTTACCGCTTTCGGACATGACAAAAATCTTATTTTTTTATCTGTTAAATTATGAAACCCATATACCTCTTCATAGAATCAAATATAACCATTTTTATTGATTTCAAGAGGCATTCACGGTACGTGGTTTTCGCCATTGAGACTTTTTCAGTTTKTTATTGGCTTCGCGGTAACTTGGTCAGCGCTTGGACACCATCGGTACATGCGCTGTCACAAAAGCCTTTTGGCCAATGATTGGCAGGAKATGTAGTGATCTCTTTGCCCTCAGTAACCTCTTCCTTGTTGGGACTCTTGCCAGAAGCCGTATGAGGTGGAAACAACTCAACACTTCGATCTGGACTGTCCCGCGCTTGGGAGGTCAAGACTTAAACACTTGGGAGCGCATAACTTCAGCCTTACCACCGMACTCGCGTGAGTTGAAATTAAACGCCTTTGCAAATATATATTGGCTACTAAGCGTTTTGCTTATTTATAAGTACGAACAGAAGAGTTCTTCTTTCCTAGGGTTTCAAAAAAAACTACATATAGCAGTTCACGTGCRATCTTCGATCAGCCATCTAACCTAAGCTAACCAAATCTATAACACACCCGGAGTTCGAAGAACAATTTTGKTTAACTTTGTTTATTTGATAGTTATTTAAATAATATTTCTTTTTTACTTACTCTCCAGTAAATGTAATTCTCGATCCGGTCAATCTGCCAACTTCCCGACGTGTCAAATCCGCCAAAGGGTTAATGGCTAAACGGAACGAGCTCAATCCGGAAGCAGCATATTTATTTGTCAAATCCACAACCGATTTTTTTGCAATAAATATCGATTCCCGATATTGGCGTTCTCTGTCGTCATTATACACTTTTCCGGTTTGTGACAAATAATCGTTAAAATTTTCTACATCACACAGTTTGTTGAATGTTTGCTGTGCCAATGTGGGCGTTAACCAAATGACAAGGCAATACAATATTGCCGGCAATAGATGAGGTAATAAAYGTGTGGTCAACATTTTTTTGTGTCAGGTATTTCTGTAAAAAGCTGTAAGATGGAAATTTTAATTAAAAAAKATCAATAATTTACGCTCGTAAAAATAATGTGCCATAAAATCAGTTGTAAGCTAAATATATTAACGCTGCTAAATTGTCTGCATGAACAAAGAAATATACTTGAAGCGTGGAAGTGCTAAGCTTACTAATGCACAATGTTGTATTTGTACATATTTATGTAAGCTTGTAAACTAGAAGTTAGTTGTAAAGTTTCCGGTAATAAGGAAAACAAACAAAGCTAAAGCAACGAGGAGAAGATATAAAAATTAATATTGACAATGTCACGGATCTGTAAGTTAGTATGGTATTTTATACATTGGARGACAAATAAGTATAAACTATTTCTGCGGATATTATTGCTTTGTCTTGAACAATAATTTATGCCAACCTTTGTTAAAATATCTTTTGAAATAAAATATTTTTTATTCAAGAACTTGATTTCAGGTTATTCAATAAGAGACTACAAAAAAAAATGGTTTAGGATATCAATGAAATTCTTTATTCCTTTGAAAATACGTTCGATCCCATTATGTATGGCACTCGATTTCTTTGCATGGCCACCACGAGCACGCTTGCAGAAGTCCAGACGCTGAAGCCAATTTACGACGGTTTCAAGCATAAATCGGTCGATACTACTACAATTTCACGTACGAACTTCATCAATCGTCGCTGCCTTGTGGACATAGACCATAGACTTGACGTAGCCTCACAAGAAATAGTCTAACGGTGTTAAATCGCACGACCGAGGCGGTCAATTTACTGCGCCATTTCGTGCAATAACCCGTTCTCCAAACTTGCTTTTTAATAAATCGATTGTGGCATTGCTTGCGGCACGGTCCTGTTGAAACCACATATTGTCCAAGTCATCATTCTATTTGGGTCAAAACTATTCGGTTATCATTGAGCCATAGCGATTCCCWTTCACAGTAACTTGCTGATCTTGATCATCACGGAAGAAGTACGGCGGAATGACGCCGCGGACCATATAGACTCATGGAGTACGTGTGAGTTGCTGCCTGACCAATAACGCATATTGATCGCTGAAAATAATTTTTYGATGAAAATTCGGATCATTTTCAAGTTTTTGCTCAGCCCAATTCACGAATATACGAGGATTCTGGTGGTCAAGCGGCTTCAGTTCTTGCACCAATTTAATCTTCTAAAGATTTAGGGCAAAAACTTTCGCAAAATTCGCCACAAAGACGATAAAGAGATCCCCAACGCTTGAGAGACTGATTTGAGTTGACGATTTTTAGGAGTGTTTGGAGTTATTCAAGGGTAATATACCCGAGTTTTGCATTAATATGTGATGGTGGAAGAGGCATGGATCTATCATTTCAATCCGAAATTCAAACGACAGTCATCCGACTGGACTGCACACCAAGAACCTGCTCGAAAGTGTGGGAAAACGCAAAAGTCAGCGGGCAAGGTTATGGCAGCTGTATTTTGGCATGTGCGTGGAATAATTTTTATTGACTACCTTGAAAGAGAAGATAACGTCAACAGTGAATATTAGATAGCGTTATTGGAYCGTCTGAAGGACGAAATCGGCAAAAAATGGCAGCATAGTGTTTTTGGGTGAAAAATCACSTTGTCACAAGTCAGTGAAAACGATGGTTAAAATCCATGAATTTAGTTGCGAATTGTTTCGGCAGCCACCATACATATTCTTCAGCGAATATTTGCTGTTCTCAGATCTCAAAGCTACGCTCGCTGATAAGAAATTTTCATCGCATAAATGGRTGATTACCGAAACTRAGGCAAAAGACAAATCGTACCACAAAAATGGTAACTAAAAGTTAGAGGGTCATTATAATCAGTAAATGACCCTTGAAGAGAACTATTTTGAATAAWATAACTAATTTTGCCAAAAGCATGTGTTATATTAGTAGGTAGGCTGGGTTAACCGATTAGTCAACTAATATTGGAGTTAGACATCATTGATATTGAAAATGAATTCGGAATGGATATGCCACAAGTGACTTTGCCTCATTATATTATGCGGAAGAGAAAACCACGCTACCTACACCAACCTTAAGTAATTCACAAATATTCAAAATATTTTAAAGTTTTTAATGACCGACGCACAAATTTAAAAAACCACTCAAAGAACAAAAGCGGCATTTCCGTACCATTTTGAAGCACCAAAACGCCTTCTGTAGCAATCAAGCGTCACGCATTATAGATTAAAGAGCACTTTGAAAAGTGAAAGGAAGTCAGTAATGCCAAACACATGTGCAAACATTCAAATTAATAATATTTATAATATTTTTTTAATATAGCCAACAGAATCGTGTTGTGTTAATGAAAGAGAAAAAGGTGGCATTTTCAAGCATCTTCACTCCCTCCTACATAAAACATACAGACCTACAGTTATTATTTGTGCCACTTGTGTCATCATTTCCTGCGTTACAACAACCGTCAAATTGCTGCTTATACGGTCAATTTTTTGTGCGATCACTAATTATAAAATCGTAGAAAGGTGAAATTTTTATGCATAATCATTTTGAGTTAACCAACAAAAGCAACAATAATAAAACTCATCTAAGACATCAATACCGCAAAAGCAATAAACAAAACATAAATCAACTGTACATACATATGTTTTATACAGTTGTCTGTCAACTTCATAACTGAACTCCGCTTACACTTGGGTGAGCATATCGATGAGGTATGGCGGGTCGAAATCAAGCAACTAATTGGAGTTTTATGTAATTTTGGCTTGTAAAGTGATTTGCTAGCGGTCAAAATWGCCGGCTGAACTTGTGCATAGCCGCAATGCGGGTATTGATAATTTYGGGCCGAAAGAAACATCAGAAAACAGCTAATAAAAAAATAAATAAAWAAAATTTCGAAATTGAWTTTGTATGCCTAAAATCGTTTGGAGTCAACCTAACAYAAATGTAGTTTTTCGAAGTTAGYATTCGAAATCGAAAAATCAAATTTCAAAATTGAATTTTTGTGCCGAAAATCATTTAGAGTCAACATTACACAAATGTATTTTTTCGAAGTTARCTTTCAAAATCGAAATATTTGCCTTAGAATTTCGAATTTCGGAACTGAATTTTTRTAGCGCAAATCATTTTGGGTAGTATTTTGAAGTTAGCTCTCAAAATCGAAATATTTGCTTTCAACTTTCGAAGTTAAATTTTCATAACGCAAATCATTTTGGTGTCAACTTACACAAATGTAGTTTTTCGAAGTTAGTTTTCGAAATCGAAATATTTGAATTCGAATTTCGAATTTCTAAATTAAATTTCTAAGGAGCCAATAATTTTGTGGTCAACATTACATTTTTCGAAGTTAGCTTTCAAAGTCGGAACATTTGCATTTGAATATCGAATTACGTAATTATTTTTTGTGGCGCAAATCGTTTTGCGTTTATCCTTACATAGAGTTTCAAGATTTCATAACCTTGCGAGAATTTTTGAAATATAAAAATTTTACTGTTTTCGAAAATATAACTTTGACTCCTTAKAAGTTGATAACGTGGATGATGTCTACATTATTGAAAGTTTCCAAATGTATGCTTATTGTSTTTTATAGTAATAAAATGTTAATTTTTAATAGACACTGCTGGCACAACACAAATGCGTTGTTTCTTACAATCTTTTAAAAATTATTTTGTTGTTATTTTGCATGTTAAACAATAAAAAAACCCATCTGGGATCCATAATCGTAAAGTTTCGTTTTATGGCGCCTTATTCCTCTTAATGAACTCAGTAATTTCTATTTCTTTTCAAACCACATTTTTCCATAAGAAATGCAGGATCAATTATTTGTATACTCATCACTTTTTAAATAAAAAAGTTTAAAAGCACCCACTCTTCACAAATGACTTTGCAAAGTCGACATTAACACATTCGTTTTATTTAATTTATGTTTCATATTTGCTATTTCGCACCTGCACAAACACTCTTACAGCGGCTTAACTAATTTTGCTTCGACGTTCGTTGCGTTCGCTTCGATTTCGTTACACTTCCGGCAATACAGTTAAAACATGCAAATCGTAACRAATTTCCGATTTCGCGAAAAAAAAGTCCCTCAACAGCGATTATTCAATTTCAGTGGCAAGCTATTCACTAGSGCGAATGCATTTGTTTTTATTATTTTCTAAYAACTCCACACAGTTGCGCGCCAAACCGTTGTACCGTCCGTCAGCATCCAGCGCTGAAGGTGAAATAAACCGATTTTAAAGTTTGAAAATATTTTTATAACGACACCACAGTTTGATTCAATCTTCGATTTGGTCGGTAAGCCGGCGCGTGTTGGATTGCCCCGCACGAAAATATTTACATTCATTTATGAACGGATACATATGTACATACATATGTAGTATATATGTTGGCATGTCTCTGCAAGCCTGCTTAAAACATTTCTGTTAAGTGTGCTTACGTATGTGTGCAGGTAAAGGGTTTCCCAACGGATACGTTGCATCTCATGACTCAAACGCTTACGTTTTCTATTAACTGTATTTAATTAATTTTAGTCCAAATATAGAACAGCACAAAATATATGTACGTTCAGTGAATAAGTCAAAAAATTCATAAGMAAATTTAAATTTTGTAYGAGATAATTAAAATTAATCACAATTTTTTAGGCTTCTTTTTGTACTCTTGCTACCTGTTGCTACAGAGAATTATGCATAGTTTTGTTCATGGTCCAAAAGCATGTCGAACGAGTGTTTTAGCTCGTTTTACCGGTATGGCCGCCAGTATGCCAGTGCAATCCTTTTGAATGACTCCCCGTCTGCATAACGCTTTTCTTTCATGGGCAAATGCATTTTTCCGAAAAGGTGGAAGTCGCACAGTGCCATATCAGGTGAATACGGGAAGTGGTTAACGGTTAAAATGTTTTGGAGATATTCAACTCCATTTCCATGGATTTCAATCATTCTTTTGGCTGATTTTTGATGAATCCACGCACAGTTTCGTTGGCATTTCCGGTGATCACGGATTTTGATTAGCCCACATGTTGATCGTCATTTATGTCCTCACGTCTACTTTGAAAACATTGAAACTACTCGTGTATTCTGCTATGGGATAGACAATCACCGCTATAAACTTGTTTCATCAATTGAAACGTTTCGGTAAAAGTTTTACCAATTTTAAAACAAAATTTAATGTTGGTTCTTTGTTCGAAGCTCATTTTCGCTGCCGATAACACAAACAAACTGACACTTAAAACGCAATAACTTCWCTTTCAATCAAKGAAATGTCATGAAATTCTCCCTGAATTTTGAAATACGGAAACAAGAATATTAAATTTTGAAACTTGACTTCGAAAATGAGAGAAATCTTACTTATCTACTACTTTCCCATATTATATATAGTATAGTAGGTTGCCTTTTTTCGGTATTTGGCAACACCAGTGTTGCAATCTGCAGAGTTGCAATTTTATCGTAAAGTTTGACTATTTTAATGGTATGCATATTCAGAAAATTTTGACAGACYAGTGCTATTTGTGTTRTTTACAGYAACTTAAAATATTCTTCTCGAACAAAAAATGGAATAGATGTGTTTTTTACAGTACCTTTAAACATTCTTCTCGATGAAAAAACAAAATTGAGTGTGTTGTTTACAGTAACTTAAAATATTCTTCTCGATGAAAAAACAAAATTGAGTGTGTTGTTTACAGTAACTTTAAACATTCTTCTCGATGAAAAAACAAAATTGAGTGTGTTGTTTACAGTAACTTAAAATATACCAAGAAATGGAAATAAATAGCGAACATTTGCGTGCAATTATTTTTTTTACAAGTTTCTACATAGATTAACTCAGCAACGGTATATCGATGAACTGAATTCAATTTTTGACAATGAAGCTTTATSGATGGTTTGGTGATTTCAAACGAGTTCGTATATCACTCCAGATCAATTGCGGGAATGTCGTTCAAAATATGTTGTTGTTATTTGTTGAACAGCCAATGGCTTGCATCCGACGGAAAGTTGGAGATGAATTACAGTTACCTAAGCAGGTAGCAAGATCATTTATTTATTCCTAACAGTTTGTATGTCAGCTATATGCTTTGATGGKCGGATCTGAACAATTAAAGGGAGTTTGTAGCGTTGCCTCAGACAATAATATATGCCAAATTTCGTCAAGATATCTTATCAAAGAAAAAAGTTGTCTATACAAAGACTGGATAGTGTACAGCAGCTACATATATACGTTCGATCTGCACAATTTCTTCCAATACAATAATAAATGCCAAATTTCTATATGTATATAAAAAAAGCATTATTTTTCAGAAAAACTTTATTTCGACCGAGCTGCTCTAAATAATACTTTTGGCACACCCTATACATAATTCAGTGTATATTAGGCTCCCGGCATCATTACTGAACCAATTTTAAGCTACAATGCTTGGAAAAAAAATTAAAGCGAAAGTAAAAATTTTAAGTGAGTTCACTTGCTTACTCATTGTATTAATGCATGATTGAGTTATAAACATTATTAATCTTTTTATTGACTTTGTTGTAGTTTTATCTTAATGCCCATTGAAATATTTTGATGCAATTTGAATCAATTTTATTCCTAGTATCTGTAAAAATCACCATTTCAATAGAAATCTGTGAATATTTATTTTAAAAAATGTACCGGCTGTTCAAAGTGAACGGCGCTGAATTTTTATTTCATATTTCTGTTTTTGGACCAGTACAAAATAGAGCGGGTGTTTTTTTTTTTCTGAAAAACCGCATATGAGGGAAATGTACTACTCATCATTCTGTACAGCTTTACCCTAAAGAATATGGATCTAAAACTGTGTGTTATCGAACCAGCAATTTTTAGGTGAAGTTTAATTTTTAGGAATTGTTTTTTTTTAGGAAAATATCTTTTCCAGTTTTTGAGATATCCGAAATTAATTACAYTCCAATTTGTCGGAATCGGCCAGATCTGACATCTATATATCATCTTTTTTATTACTAATATTTTACCGATTTTTATCTATTTAAAAAAAATTTTACCGATTATTTTGTTATTTTTTCCAGTTGCCTGCCTTTAAGGGCTTACATGGGTTTCCCTGTGTAAAAAACAACCTTTTTTCAATAATTTCTTTTTTTATATTAAAAATAAGTATTTTATTAGAATTTTTTATTGTTACAAACATACACTACTACCAAACAAATTCTGAATTTTTTTAGAAAAATATATTCTACAGAAATATGAAAATTTCAGTGAAAATGTCGCAACATCTTTTGTACCAATAGTTTTAATCGAAAAAAGTCCTTCGTTCAAGTCTTTAAGAATTATACCTCAAAGACCTGTGTAAAATTTCATGAATACTGATTTCAAAATTCCCTAGAAATCTTGCCAAACGACTTCAAAAACACAGTTTCGACTTAAACACGGCGCACTTAGCCTCGAGCGCCGAAATTCTCAAGGCTAGATTTACGAAATTATTACTCGGATGAACTTGAAAATTTAGAATAATATTCTAGAGGTGTTTTAATAAGACAATAAAAAAACTATTTTTTCAAACCGGTAAATCCATGTAACCCCTTTATTAAACCGTTAAGAAGAAAATCGGGGAAAACTATATTACATACGACTTCTTCTTCTTTATTAGCGATTATAGCCGAGTTAACAACAGCAAAGCTGGTGTTTTTTAAGTGGCGGGTCCCAAACCCAGCCTTGTTTCGCCTTCTCACTTTAGCTCGCCTTCAAATGGATGTTCGTAGGCTATCTACTTATTAAAGACCGGAAGTCTTAAGCTGCTTTAGTCAAAAGATAGTAAGACTTTATTTATAATTTTAAAATTTTTAATTCGTTCTTCAAAATGTATGTCGTTCACCTCAAAGTAATCAATCAGTTTAATACAATGGTTGCGGCACGATATTGGTTGAAAATTTGGTGAAAACCTAACGAAGAATCAATACAGTATGCGACGGTGTATTATCGTGGCGCAAAAACCAAGAGGTGTCGACGCATAACACTCAAATAGTGTTCCTTGTTGACAGTTAAGCCAGTCGGAAGGAATTCGTAGTGGATTTGGAGTACGCTTGATTTTTGACCTGCTCTGAAGTGTTTTTTTCGGCTTCGTCTCACCTTTGCCACTATATTCGGCCGATGAATCATATGTTTTCGGGTCGTAAGCACAGATTCAAGACTCATCGCCAGTAATAATACTTTTTATGGCATCCGGGTAGTCAGAAAGCATTGTTTAACAGACATTTTCCCCATGTTGTTTTCGAAAAAGTTTAGTGATTTTGGAACCAAGTGGAAGCAACCTTTTCTTAAACCCAAATGATATTTTAAACTGGTTTTCACTGATCCTTCCGATATTCCAACGATGCCAGTGAGATATACTTGTACCACTATTAATCGTAATGGAAATAATTGGTAGATGAAATAAAAAATAGCTTTTAATCTTTTTTCAGCGTTTAGTGGGGTATTTATATTAATTTTCAGAAAAAGTTTACCATATATTTTGTTTTGGTTTTTTCGCTTTCAGCTTGAATTGTGCTGACATTTAACACCAATGTACTAGTCAATAAGAAATGTGATTTTCTAACCAGGTTGTAAATTTTAATTTCTACTTTATCCAATAAATGGCTTTAATAAACTGTATGTGGTTCTCTAACATAAAGTTTCCATTCTCCGCTGTTACATATTTATTGGACTAACTTTTATGCGAACCCTTATTTATGAGGTGTTTCCAGCAAGGTTTATTGTATGATATAACAGTTATAAAACCTTACATACACACTCACTGAGAAATATAAATGTGTCTGCAAATATGCACAAGTAGGCATACTCTTACGTATATTTCTTATACATATCTGTTTTATGTTAATTTATTAAATGGTCAAAATATTGAATGACCGGCGGCTAAAGGTCGACAACAGCAGCAGCATGTTTGGTGGACAGCACCTAGTTTACTATTGAATTAATCATACCAAATGAATTTCATTGAATTAAAACATTCGTTTATSTTTCTTTGAACATTCGTTGCTTTGGATTAGAGTCGTGAAATTCGYCTTCGTTTAAGTTGATATTTATATGTTTCCATTTGTTTTCTTATTGCATTTTGTTAATAAAACGATGAATATGATAATTGGTTGCCGAAAGAAAAAAAAACAAATGTCGAACATAAATAACTTTTATGGCGGGCAAAAGCAATTAAAAACCGTTTATATTATTATTTTATTACAGAAAGTGAT